AATTATCCAGCTCACTGGGCTTGCAGGAAGGCTTGCCTTTTAACAAAAGTCTTACTACCTTGACCTTTACGCAAGATCGAAGCACACCTTGCTGGAAAGGGCTCTTCACCAAATTCCCTTGCCCACTCAGCCAGTCCCACCTGCTAGCCAGGAATGCATGGACCTGGCACACAAGTGCCTGCAAGGAACCTGTCCACATCCTTAGGCTGTACAAATTTAAAAGTAGCCAGTATAACTATATAAGCAGGAGCGAAAATTACATCTCCCTGTTTACTGTTTATTCATGCTTATCCCAATATTATGCAATTCCTTTTAAAACTCAGGCCAAGACAAGGCAACACCATGACATCTGCATTGATGGACGCACATTACGACTGCCTTCTTTTAGTGGGTACTGGAACAGATGGCCCTTGATCTTGTGCTGACCGTACCCAGAACTGCAAGATGACACCAAGTACACTTGACATTTATATTGTGCTTCAGAATATTCCAAACAATTAAAATATATGATCTTGCTAATGTCTTTTCAACAATCATGTAGGGTTGGTCAGTATTAGCATTATCTTGATACTGAAGATGTGTGGCTGAGGCTGAGCTAAGAAAAGCTGTAACTTTAAATGAGTTACAGAAAGAAGGTAGAATGCTGATGGCTCTTGTATACTTAGCATTTGCATATCAGATTGCCACCTCCCAGTTAGCCTGTTCAGTAATCCAGTTTTTCAAAATGGCATAGTTACCTGGGGAATTCTTAACTCACCCAGCTCTTGTGTTTCAAACTCAACCATTGAAAGGCATGTCTGCTGTGCGGTGTCCTGAGCTGCTAGTTTGGTGCTGCATGAAGTTCTTTCTTGCACAAGACACTTGCCTAGTTATTGTGGAAAGCTAATCATGCACAGGGCACAATGTGTGTTAGGAACCACTAGCTGTGTGAATGACCTGTATAAGCCAAAGTACCCTGCGGACAAGGATTGCAAGGATCAGAAGTACCGAAAGTACACTTCTACTTTCGTAAGTTAAAGCCAATTGGATGTGCCCCAAACTTCATTGGCACAACTGCAGTAAGCCAGAACTTCCATGCCACGCACTGCAAGCAATATTATGCAGTGCTGGAAAGGTAGTATCCACCGAGGAACAGCTTGTTATCTCAGAGAATGAATTGGTCTACTAGGGCTGCTGCCTCCACATCCTCTACTTCTGGCATCCAAAATGCATTCTCTGCTGCTGGCAACTTTTAAAGGAGAGGCAAGCTTGAAAAGCCTGGGAATTATTCTCCAACTTGGATCAGAAGTTGGAATTGGAGAATAATCCAACAGATGAAATTTGTCAGGGTCCTTCTTTGTTTCTTTGGCCAGAAATCAAATACATTCACATTTCAGTGGAATTTTAACCTGTAACAAACTGGTGGGGAAACAGTTTTAGATGGGGTGAGATGAACCAGTCTTCATCCTGCTTGCCGTGGGCGGGATGATATCAGTAGATGTGGCTGATGTCACTGCCTCCCTCCCTCCCATACTGCTTTTCTGTGTTGAGGGAGACAGATGAGTGTTACACGTCTCTGCACAGAAGAAAGGATGCTTCTGCCATCACTTGCGAAACACCCAGCTTTGTTCAGCACTTCCCTATTTACAGGGCTGACCCACACCACACAAATGGACAGCCAGCTCTGGAAAAGGCCGTCATTCCTGCAAGTGCTACTTCAGTTCCCAGTTGTTCGCATTCCCATTGCTATTTCTGGAGCAGGAGGAGGACCCCTGGGGACTGGATTAGGTCCCCAGGCAGAGGCTCACCAGAGGTTCAGTGTGTGAAACAACCTTTTCACTTTCTGTCACTAGTGTTGAGTTCTGCTTTGTTTAAAGCTTGGATTGCTTTTGAAATATATATTTGCATTAGTACTGATTATAGTGCATGGTTTGGTAGAAGAGATATACATGCTTTGCAATAGGGTGATGAAGAGGCTGTAAGGCCCAATTTGAGGACAGGAGAAGGGACCATTTCCTAGTGAGGACCAGTGGAAATTATGCTCTCTTTCCACATTACTGGATTGCATCCCTATAGGGTTTTTCCCCATTCTCAATGCAAACCAGTAGGGAATCTTTTCTCTATTATGGACCCAGCAGAGAGATGGCAGGAAAGTTTTCCAAGGACCCTTGGACTGGAGTGGAGTTTACAATTTTGGGGAGAAGTTCTCTGGTAAATTTTAGGGTAATCTGAGGTATGCTTCAAAGAGCTAACTTGTCTTGATTCTTACTTTTGAAGCAACAAAATTATCTCTTTATGTGATGGTGAGCACAAAGGAGCCAATACTATTGGGTTTTACTGGATTCAGTTTTGAGTTATAATTTTAATTTTTTTCCTGTGATCTCTGTACAGATCTTTCTATAGAGTTAAATGGAAAGCAGCACGAAAAAGTATGTTGAAAGGCAGTCCACAAATGCCATAAACAAGCCAATAATAGAACAGAGACATATTATCAGGTTGCTAATGACTCTGTGGTCATACACAATGGAAAGGACAATGTAGGGGAGAGAAACAAAGACTAAATGACTAAAACAATGGAGAATGAGGCTGTTCACAAGAAGGCCATCCATGGGTGAATATGATCAACTCACCACAGCGTAATTTATACAATAAGCTCACCTGCCTTTCTGTATTGATGCAAATCTGTTCTGATTTTCACCCCCTTTTGGTCATGTATTCTAGCATTTTGTAAAAAGCTTGGAGTGTTAAGATGTTTATGTTTGGATGGCTGAATCTGCCATTTCTTGCTGGCGATCCTGAGTGATGAAGATATTTGATTCTGGTTTGAAAGTACTGTTTAGAAAGTTTCACAATTTGGAAATAATAGGAAACTTGTTTAGCAGTTCATGGTAGACCTCAAAGTTGAGTGCACGATCAGAAGAGGAAAGAATAGAGACAAAGAGAATGTGTGCAGATACAAGGCCCGTTTCTGATGTAATGAATTATGGTATTATAAAACTGTAATATATGAGCCAGGCCTGTATCACAGGCATTTCACTATCTTGAGAACCACTGTAATTTTCTGATCCAGCAGTTTATTACTGGCACAGGAATTTTCATCTGTATATGGATCTCTTCTATACCTGTGGGCTGACCCACTTCAATGGATGAACTTGATCCATATATACTCTCCTTTATACCCATGGATCAAACCCATCTACCGAAAGGAACAGCAAAATCTGAACATGGGTAAGATCTATCACACATGTCTTTGAACTTCCTTGTGGTGTTTATGAAATGTGTGTTGATTTTATATGTGATGATACATTTTATACTGTGTGCTGAGTATTTGTTCAAATGCTTAGAGCCAGAAATGTACTCTTGATCCTGTCTGAATATGTTTTTGTTTTGTAGTTACAGCTATCGATTCAACAAATTAAACCTGGTTTGGTTTTAACTGTTGAAAAATGATTTCATGCAATTATAAACCTTGATTTGGGATTTTACAACAATTGAACAGTATGCTAATGTTTATCACAGGATGCCATTATTTCAGGAATTTGGATCTTTAATGACTTCTGGAGGCAACTAGTTTGACCCTCATGTATCTCATTGCCTTTATTCTGGCCTAGAACATAGAATCACTGCTCCAACATTGGCCAACCAGTCCTGAAATCCTAAGCATGGGAGAGACTAGAGATGTATAAGAATTTTCTTTTAGTTTGTAAATCATCTGAACTTGCCTCTTTGCAATCTTAATATGAATGGGTTAGGGTTTTTAAAAATGTCAGCATATTCTTGAACATGCAATTGTGTTTGAAAAATACATACATTTTGAAAAATGCATACTGTGAAATGTGCATTTTCCAAATAAATAAAAGCATTTTAACACTTATTCAGTGAGGGAAAGTATGCAGTTCCCATTCAAATGAATGCCAAAATATGTTGCAAACAAAAGTGGGAGTGAGGCCCATGTTCAGAGACTATCCCTGGTTCTTCCATTCCTAGGGAAAACCTGTTCCCACTGCCTGGACCATTGCTGGAAGCAGCCAGTGAGGCAACCTGTCAGCTAGAGGTTTCCACAGGTACTGAAGAGGGAGAAATCAAGACCCCCAGTTGTCCACCTGCTCCTGAGAAGAGTTCCTTGCTGGCTTTCTCAGACTTAGATCACTCGTCTCCTGAAAGGGCAAACACTTTTCTGAAGAACTATTTCAGCCCACAGAAACCTTCAAATTACTACTACAACATTCTAGGTTGTTGGCTGGGACTCTGTCATCTGTGCAGCCCACATGTTGCTGAACTTGAGCCTCCACTGCAAACTGTACTCATTTATTCACCTGTACTCCACCTCCTTTTGAGATGGAGTGGCTATTTCCCGATCTGACACCTCTGTTTCTGGGCAGCAGAATGTGAACAGGAGGGGCTTCGGTACTGTTCTTCATTCTGGGTGGGAGAATGAAGGAGGGATAGGTCCCCCATCCCTCTCTTTATCTCAGCTTTATCACACCCGTCCCTAAGAAGTGTAGGCAACATAAATGGTTCCCCCATTTTAGTTCCACAAGTATGCTAAGAAGTAGGTTAAACAGAGAGACAATGACTGGCCCAAGGTTGCCATGTTTGTGGATGGGTTTTTGAATGGGTGGAGATTTGAATGATAGTCTCCCCAGACTATGAGCTGTATCCAATGTTAGTCCTACCTAGAATAGACCCTGTGAAATGAATGAGACATGCATTAAATCAACACTGGATACAGTTACATTTTCCTTTACTTGGATGATTATAGTTTTATTCCTTTCTAACACACTATTTTAAAACTTTCTTTCTCCCATCAAGAAACACAAAGCAGCATCCAAGCTCTGATTGGGCACAGACCATGCTTCCTTGTGATGTTAAGTATAATCATCCTTCAGTCATCCTGTTCAAAGCTATGAACATTAGATAAATTTAAAGTAGAAATGCTAATGCATTGTTTTATTTTATAAACAGAAAAAGTGGGACATACAAAGTAGTGACAATAAAGGGTGAGGGAGAAAACAACTCACAGTAAATGAAAGGAAAGAAGAAAATAATGTCCCTTCATCATATCTGGATAGTTTGGCCAGGACTCCTTCCAGGATGGTGACAAACTGAAGTGAGAGAGAGAGAGAGAGAGAAAGAGAGAATGAGAGAGAGAGATTTCAGACACACAAAAAATAAGCCAGCAGCCTCTCTCTCGCAAATTATGATTGCTATCGAACAAATCAAAAGTAAATAGTAGGGCTTTACAAGTGAATCAATGAGTTTCTGACTAGATAGGTTGCTCAAATGGATTGACATGGTACAGATATAAGAGCCTATCTAATTAACGGGGAGAAGATACGAGAAGGCATGGGTGCATGGAACCCATTTGACTCTTCTGAAGCAGAAGGAGGATGCAGCTTGATCTATTAGCTCATGTTGTGGAATTAGTTCATAAAGAGAACCAAGAAAATACCCCTCGCTCTTTTGGCATGACAAAGCGCTAGTGCAAATGTGCACACCTGGCTTATGCCAGGAGGGTTTGTAATAATGGCTAGTTTCTGCAACTGTTGTTGTTGCCATTATTAGTAGGTAACTGGGACATAAGGACAGGTGAATTTTCCTTTTGTTCAGTTCACTATGCCCATTTCTGCATCAATTTGAACATTTTGTTTTAAAATGTCTGCAAAAATTGCATACAGGATTTTGTACACATTTCTTACAATATACGCATTGTGTGTACACTTTTAACCAACACACATGCTGCTTGTTGAACTTAATTACAGCATTTGGAAATGTGTGGATTTTAGAGCACAAGGTGTTCCAGTTCATGTATAAATCCGAGGAGCATGAATTAGGTGCATTTGCATCAAAATGTGAACCAAACAAAATTCTCATGCATCTCTACTGGAAAGCAGATACAAAGGACAAACATTTCTGCGAAAAATGTTTTACCCTTTCTTGCCTCCATCTAAAACGTTTTCATCTTCAACTGTTTGGGAGGTTTCTCATTCATTTTTCTGTTTTGGCAACAAAATCACATCAAAGAACAAAACTCCTTGTTTTGTGATATCCCAACATTTCCAAAAAATCTGTTGCTCAAAAGTGAATAAATAAAGGTGAACTTTTTGTGACAAAAAATTAGTCATGTTCATTAAAATTCTTGCTCTTTGCCTATTATATTGGTCATCTTGCATACACTGGAGGAAAGCCTGCTATGTGTGTTACAGGAGCTAATGAGAGTGCGACCCCCAAACATAAGGTGCAAGAAATATATTGCTCCTGGAGAGTAATACCAAATGGAGAACAGCTGGTAGGTCCTTGAAGGAGATCCAGAATGGCGCATGTTGGCCCATATGTTCCACAGGTCCTTACACTTCTTATGTGTTCCTTACAGTGTTCTGCTGGTTTGACTAATTGAAGTTAATGAAGAAATGCAATCATGCAGTGTTACACGGATCACAGGCTGAAGTCTGTGTTGCAAGATGGTTTTCAGTCTGGAAACTGAAAACTAGATGAAACAGCATGATAAATGGCTGTTATCCCCATACAATATGTCATACTCCTACATAGGAATGCTTCTGAGTTTAGAGCACACTTGAACCATCTTTGCAGCCCTTTATCTGTTGATAGTCTATGAACAGTAAGCTGTACTCTCGTTTCTGATAATGTAGCAATTACTCTTCAGTGCATGAGAGTTCTGTGTAAGTAGGCTTGGGCTTATCACTAAGATAAAAGGAATGTGAATATAGGCTTATTTTTCTAATCCCAGTATTAGAACCATTATACATGACCCCGATATCCCATGTCTTAGACTACTATATTTTGTATGTCAGTCTACAATTACCTGGAACCGAGTGGAACTTAATTCTGAGTAGACATGTATATCAGTGTATTGCAAGTTTAAAAATACACTTTGTACTAAGGTGGAAACCATTGCTTATGTACATACAATCAGTTACCTCTACCTAGTAAGACCACTTATATTTTACTTCCATATATTGTAGGAATGGTTTTGTGATTCAGGTTTGGGTCATGGGTGGCATTAGTAAAAGGAAACTGAAAGTGGGAATTAAGAGAGTTAAATCCCTTAAAAATTCTGTGAGATTACTCAAAACTGCAATAATAGAAGCTCAGTATATATAGCACAAGAATAGGAAAGGCAGCACCAAGTCCAAGATATGAACAGCTTGGTCAGTGGGCAGTATCAGAAAAACTTTGGGATAAGAGGGCTTCCTTCAGAAAATGAACATTTCACCCAAAAGAGGAAAACAAAAAGGAGCACAAGCTTGCCCAAGAGAGATGTAAGCAAATGCATTTTGATAAAAGTCCAGAAAGAAAGAATTCCTTAAACATATTAGAAGCAGGAAACCAGCTAGTGAGGCAGCTGAAGGAGTATTTAAGGAGATCTCTGAGAAGCTGAATGAATTCTTTTCATCCTTTTTCACTGTAGAGGATAAAGGCAGGTGCCTGAACTGATGTTTTCAGGAAGGGCGTCTGAGGAACTAAGGCAAATAGTGGTGACAAAATATGAAATCCTCAACATTACGGACAAAGGAGACAGATAGGATCCACCCTAGTGTTCTCAAAGAACTCAAACATAAAAATGCTGATCTTCTTACAAATACATATAATATGTCCCTAGGATCAGATTCTGTAACAGAGAGCTGGAAAATGGCCAAAGTAGCAACATTTTCCCCCCAAAGGGATTCAGGTTGGTTCCAGGAAATCGCATGACAGTGAGCTTAACATCCATGCAAGGTAAATTAGTTGAAAGTGTTATTAAAGATAGAACTGGTAAGCACATAGAGGGACAAGTGCTACTTAGAAAGATGCAATAGGGCTTTTGCAGAAATTCTCAATAACTTACTAGAGTTCTTTGAAAGTGTCTGTCACCTCATGGACAGGGGTGAGTGATCTAGTAGACATTGTTTACTTAGACTTCCAAAAGGCTTTTGACAAAGTCCCTCATCAAAGACTCCTGACCAAACTCAGCAGTCACAGAATAAGAATAAGAGGGAAGATTATGTATTAGTAATTGGTTAAAGAATTAAAACAGAGACTGGCGATAAAGGGTCATTTCTCCCAATGGAGGGACATTAACAGTGGTGCTTCACAGGGTTCTGCATTAGAGACATTCAGTAGTTTTCAACTAAATTTATAAATAATCCGGAATAAGGAGTGAGCAGTGAAGTAGGCCACATGTGCTGATGACGCCAAACTATTTAGGGATCTTAAAAATAAAAGAGAGATTGAGAAGAGCTCTTCAGACTGAGAGAATGGCGTCAGAATTACAAATGCAGTTCAATATACAGTAAATAACAGTACAGATATACATAGTGGGGCAAAAAATCCTACTTCAAGTATAAGCTGATGGGCACCGATCTGGCCATGACTTATTAAGAAGATCACAGGGTTTTGGTGATGAAAATTTCAACCTAGTGTGTGGCTACTGTGAAAAAAGCAAGCTTAAAAAATTAGGCATAATTAGGAAAGGGATTGCAAATAAAACTGTCAATCTCATACCACCTGCATTCAAAATATTGTGTACAGTTCTGGTCTTTTAATAACTTAAAAAGACATTAGAGCAGAAAAGAACAACTTTAAAATGATCAAGAGGCTGGAACAACTCTCCTGTGAGAAAGGTCACAGCCACTGAGAATGTTCAGCTTAGAAAAAGCCAAGTAAGAGGATACAGGATAGGAAACGAAATAATTCATGGTATCAAAAAAGGGGACAAGGAGACATTTCTCTCCCTCTTCAATGATGCTAGAACCAAGGGTCATTATGTGAAACTGGTGGGAGATTCAAGACAGATGAATGACAGCGTGTTTTCACAGAGCACATGGCCAAACTACAAAATTTACTTCTATGAGATGGCTTTAAAAGGAAATTGGACACATTTATGGAGGAGAAGGCTATCAATGGCTACTTGTCCTGATGTGGTACCTCCAGTATGAGAGGCAGTATGTGTATATATATTATTGCTGGGGAACCTGATGGGAGGGTGCTGTTCCATGCATATCCTGCTTGTGGGGTCCTGTGGACAGTTGGTTTGGCCACTGTGGGAAAAGCATGCTGGATTAGATGGAGCATTAGTCTGATCCTCATGTATCCAAGCTTCTTCTGTTCTTATATATCCCAGGTCTGTTTGGAAGAGGTTTCAAAGAATGCCTTGTTGATCTTTGGCAGCTGCATTTTGCTGATAGCCATTTCTCCTTGGGCAGGATTAAATGATTGATGGAATGAGCAGGTTAAAGGTGGGCAACCAGGCAGGTAAGAGGATCGCCACTTATTTGATATATTCATAATTCCTCCTTTTCAGCAATTCCTGTGTCTACAACATGGCCAAATCATTTAAAAATATAAAAGCTGATTATAACAAGAAGATGCTTTCCAAGTACAATGAATCAAAAATTGCAGTTCAATACTTATCCAAAGTCTGGGGAAAGAAAAGAAAGGTCTTCTTTGTCTGTTTTCTAAGGATAGAAAGAAGTCAGCAGTGCAAGTCAGAAAGGCAGGGTTGCTCCAAAAACATTACTGCCTGAAGAACAGCCCAAACAGTACCCTGCCAACGCGTTACAAACCCTGGTTACAGCATCCAGATGCTCATTTCTCATTTATCAAAGGCACCAAGGAAAGGATATCCCACAAGATCACGGTACCATGGGGGAAAGTGGTGGGGAGAAGAAGGTGTGTCTTGAAGGAGCTGTGTGCGATGGAGAGGGTAGTGGAGGACCTCCACAGAGATGAGGTAGGCCCATGAGATGTGCCTTTGCCCATGTAGCTCACAGCCTGGCAGTGCAAGCTGGCACTGAAGGATCACAGCTAAGAGGTCCAGGTGACACAGTCAGGTTCTGAAAATTGGAACTTAACCATCTGCATCATGACCAAGCCACAGGCTTCAGCTCGAACACTCTTGTTCTGCTCAATTTCACACAGATTGCAATCATGAGATATTCAATCTGTCAAGCCTAAGTGATGTCTGATCTTTTCTGTGAGAAACAACAAACCACCTAAACTTCTTAATGTGTCACATTTTAATGGAAATGCTATTTAAGAAAAAAAAGTGATGTTAACAGTGAATCGTTTCACCTGAAGCTAAAGGTTACCTTTGCTACTAGGAGCGTTATCATTTCTTTGACGGTTTCTTCAATTAGTTCATCTATTTTTGAATGATACTGGTGCTGAGGAGGGGAGGAAAGATGAAGGCAAAATATTATTAGCATAGATCAGTGGTTGTTATTGTATTGGTTATATTTCAGTGCCATTAAACACGTGCTCTAGTATCATTTACAGTATATGGATTAACATTTACGAAAGGCTTTTTTTAAAACCAAGGAGCTTCTGATAGGATTTTGTGAATGATGATCAAATCCTAGCTTCAGTTCCATGCATACAGCTGAACTAATATTAATGAGAATCAAATGCATGCACCAGAGGACAAAGTCCAGTATTGTTTTGCTATATGCAGATAATGATAATTGGAAAGCAACAGAGGTGAAAGAGCACATTGCATCTGTTCTTTACTTCTGATCACTTTAAAGTGTCGTAATTAAGATATTCACATTTTTTAACGATTTAAGCAATTATTGAAAGACATCTCACATGATAGAACAGGGCTGGGGACTGTGTGGTCCTCCAGATGTTGCTGGGCTACAACTCCCATTAGCTCCAGGCAACAAAGCCAATGGTAAATGATGGGAGTTGTAGTCCAACAACACCGGAAGGGCCACAGATTCTCAAGCCCTGCTGTACAGCAATGCAGCAGCTGCCTCTTGATGCAAGGCTGAACTGCCCTTGGTCAGAGGGAGCCTACAAAGAACTTGATTATAAGCAGACAAGCTGCAGTAAGTGAAACCACTGGGTTTATATGGTTGCCCAGAAAACTGGGTAGAATTTGACTGTGATTCCCTACTTTGCAATTCATGTGCCTGCGAAGCACTCGAGTATAAGAATGATCGGAAAATGGGTGTTCTGACACATGCAAAAGATGGCAAGTGCAGCACTGAGGCCCTCCATGCTGGGGCATTAGGTCAGTGCCGACTTATAGACAAGATCGACACCAACTGAACATTCAGCATCACTTTCTACATGGCGCCCGGCACCCAAAGGCCCCCCAACCACCCAATTACTGACCATCTCAAACCTTTCTGAGCTGTGAGAAAATCACCAAGGAATGTGATTTCAGGCAAGAAATCTGCTATTTTTTAAAAAACTAAAGTCTACTTTTAAAACCAGACTTCTTATTACTAAGGAAACACTATGGCATATTCTTTTGTTTTGCCAAAGAACAGCACAAATATTTAATATATGAGGATTTTTTTCCACATTCCCTCTTCCACACATTAAATAAAACATGGAAAGCGCTGATCTTAGTCACTGTATTTATTTCCACTTGTTTGCGCTAATGTTATTTTAAAATGTTAACATTCAGCCAACCCCCACCCACCCCCAACAACATTAGAGGAGACAGATCTGCTATAAATACTAAATCACGCTTTGGGGAACAAGGAGTGTGAGGGGCAATTAGAAGTGTGAGACGTTGGTCCCTCGGCAATGACTAGAGTTCCACACTAGTTTGAGCTGCTCAGTGTTTTACTTTCTTTCAATGGAACAGTCACATATTACAACAGGAACTTGGAAGAAAAGAAAACAAAATGTAGGACACACTTACCCACTCTTTAGCAAACTTTCAGATGATTGGGGACAGAAATAAAGAGGAAGGTGCAGAAGACAGGAAAAAGAACATATGAAGGTAAACAATAAATAAAAACAAAATCTTCAAAAGAAAATGGGACCTTCTAAATGGTGGGCCATGAAAAAGCAGCAGCGTGCACAGAAACAATAAGCAACAGGAAATGAAAATTATGAATAGAGTCCCTTTTCACTGAAATACCTGAGATGGCTACCAGAGATAATCACGGAGAAATTCAGAAAGGATTTTGAAATGTGATTGTTGCACAGAACAGAACACAGACACAGAACATCTCTAGTGAGACAGAGAAATATCATCTTTTTGCAATTGGAAGAATATATATATATATATGTACAGTTCAGTGGCATGGCAGCTGTTTTCTCAGTTTCAATGGACAGACTTGTTACATGCTCCAGTTTGGTGATGGCTAAAGGTTGGTTGTTTCCCTCTTGCTCAGATTCAAAGGTTCCTGGCCCATGGGAAGAGATGACACCCCCAGAGATAGGAGCTTTGTCCAGTATGTTCACAGGCCACAATAAATTGACTTTTGACTATTTTCCTACCTATATGTATCATCAGTGTTTTTGGCATAACCATCATAATGTGAAATTATAACCTTAAACTGCTTCTGGTTGTATTTTTATTTACTCAATAGAATCTATTGCATTAAGGCGCCATCTTTAGATCTCAACAAACAATAAATTTAAGTGGGACATGGCTGAACAGAAAATAAGCTTTGAACTTCAGAGGTGGTACAGGGCATCCTTTCAATTCTTCTTCCACTGAGTGCACCTTCAGATCCTAGGATGGAAAAGAGGGTGCATGTGGAACGTTGCAGCTTCTCCACAGAAGCAATGCTGACCCGGAGGCTGCATCTACACATAAAGCAGAATGAAGTGGCAGAATCCTGAGGCTATAGGTTAGACTATATGACTCAAGCTATAGGCAGAGGGTGCAATTTTTGAATGCTCCCCTATGGGGGAAAAATTCCTTGCAGAGGCTGCGCCTTGGGACCAAGACAACAGATCACACACAGAAGGTCCCAGTTTTAGTCTCTGTTCTAAGAGAGAATCATGTAGCAGGAGTTGTGAAAGAACTTGCTTGAGACTCTGAGGAATTGCTGCCAACCAGAGCAGGCAATATGGGTCTGGACTAGTCTGTCTGGTATAAGGCAGCCTCCTGCGTGACACATCAGTGCCTGGTGCTACCAATCAAATCGAGTTTTAGGGGCACATACAGGTGTAGAGTTCCTTCTATTACCTCAGGACCCTTCCATCCCATTCTGCTACATGCGTACCTTCACAGAGAACCACAGAAGGTAGTTCTTTATGTATAGGTCTGTGTGTGTATGTGTACGTTGGCGTGCATGTGTGTGTTGTGTGTCTGTAGCACTTGAAAGGAACACGGCAGCACCCGGGTGTGCACGTGTTTGCGTGCACTGGAAACGGAACAGAGGTGCTGGGGAGGGTGGGAAAGGAGGCACTGGCAGCGAGGTAGGGGCCGAGAAAGAATCAGCAGGAGATGCTAAGAAAGCAGCAGCACTTCAGAATCCCAGGGCTTGTTTCTGCATCCCTTCCTCGGGCCAAGGGGCTAAAGACTTGGACCCCTGTAAAGTGTGGGCGCTGAACCTCTTCCAGCCAAAGGCTGCACTGCATTTCGGGGGAGTTCCTTGGGGCCGCATTCTAGTTGTGAATATGGCCAAAAGCAAAAGGGCCAGGGCCAGCGTAACAATAATGTCAGCTTCTCTTAGCTTAATGCTTTTCCTGCCAGGAACTAACCTTTAGGGAAGGCATTTCAACTTTTTAGAATGAAGGCAAAGCTGCACAAAATCCAGGTGACCACCCCAATAGGCAGCATTCATTGATTTAGTTTGGACCCTTTTTTCTGCAAAGGAAAAGCCAATTGAGGCAATGAGGGCGAGGGCAATGGGGTGTGGCCTTCTGGGGAACCCCAGGGGACTCAGCCAGAACCCCAGATTTGGGCCTAGCATTCTCCTGTAAAGAGATCCGCTGCTGAGCCAGGCAGATGTGTTCAGCACAGACCTCCGTATTTGCACAGGAGACGGGGGACTTGTGGAAAGCGAATGGAAATAACAGAGGGAAGGAAGCAGAAGCCAATGTAAGTCTTCCTGTGTTTGCAGTTGGGGGGCTCAGTCTCCCCCAAATCACAATGATTTGCACAGCCTTTGGGCACCCATCCCCAGCCTCCCCTGCTCCCTCTCCCCACTTTGCATAATCCTTGGTTCCACGTGCAGAGCCCCTCTTTTTCCAGCAGCCACAGCCACGTTTGCAGATATTTACTCTGGATGGTGGGATGCAGGCAGCTCTGCCGAGGAGTAGCATGCTATACCATGAAGAACGTGCTTGACAGGACGACTCCTTGGACGCACAAAGCAGCAGACATGTCCTGCAGGATGTAACCCTTTGACATAGGAACACGTGCCACCCACGAAGCACAGGACAGACAAGACTTGCAAATGCACTCCATGCACACCGGCAGAACTGTGTTGTGTCCGGGCTCCATTTTGAAAAGCACAACAAGGCAGGAAAGATTTTGTGCACAATGCTGTACATGCCCAAACCTGGCATACTCCGGCTCTGATAGACATGCATGGAAATGGGACCCCGACTAGCATGTTAGGCTGAGCAGGAGTACAGCAACGCTAATGGACGGGCAAGCTGGACAGGTCCAAAACGACATCTGTGCTTTTGAAAATGCAGCCTTTGGGAAATGGTGGCGATGCATGGACTTGAAAATAAAAGATTCTCTTAGCGGATTGGTTCGTTCTCCCACTTGGGTTCTCCATTTAAATCCAAAAGACATGCTTAATTTGCCACATTATCATATTGTTTTAATCAAGGACTTTTCTTTGGTGGAGGTGAGGGAGGGTGAAATGTCTCTTGTTAGTGTTCATTTTCATTGGATAAATCATGAGATTTAACTAAAAGGATGGCTAGGTGTGTGCAAAATAATGCAGTGTGAAATGTATTGACAAATATATTTTCAATTAAAATCTTGTTTACAACGCAAATAAGAACGGTGGCGGCGGTGGCAGCAGCAGCAGCACTAGAATACAGCCAGAAAGACTGCAGACTCGCTGTCTGATCCTCCAGCATCCTCACCACGGCAAGCTCCATTGACACGAACAAAGCTTGTGCTGGTGGAACTTCTCGGAGGATTGCGGTCAGAGAAAAGGTCCCTCACCTGCACACAGCAAGCACTTTGGCTGCTGGCTAAAAGAAGCAATGTTGCTACTTTCTTCTGAATTTATATTGCTGGATAGAGAATGTGGGTGAGCTAATTCAGCACAGGTTGGTAACTTCCAAGGATCCGGTGCCAATTTTGGCCCGCTGAACCTACCAGGGTGTGCTCCTATCATTGTTGAAACCACTGCCAATTTTCTATTGAACAGTGAGAAAATGCTTCATTTGCTCTTTGGTGTAAGGTGCCCTGAGATGCACATCTTCTTGTAATGCACAACTGAAGTCC